GGGTGTAAGGGCCTGACGCTACAGTCGCCTCAGCGACTGGCCGCCGCTCCCCATCAAGCTCTGCTCTCGACTGTACACACATTGACACAGACCACAAGCATCATCGACGCGACTGGTTGCGTGCACGCTCCGTCTGTCACTTCCTAGGCTCACCTGCACCTGCAATCCCTCAAACAGGCTGCGCCACCGTCGACGACGACGGCCGCCCCACCCTCCTCTACACCGGCGTCGTCCTCCGCCCTGGGGCGCCGCCCGGCCTGCGGCCCGACAGCTTCACTGTGTCCCGCCTCTGCACTGAGACGCAGCTGATGGCTGTGGCGGACGACCCCGGTGGGTGCTGCGCTGCGCGCGATTGCGGTGCGTGTGCCCTCCCGTCTTGGCGGACGCGACAGCTTCAGCTGCGTTGATTTGAGGAGCGCCTGAGCCTGGTTCAGAGTTTGAAACAGCCGATTGCAGGCCTGCCTTTGGAGTGACGCTGCGCTTCACTTGAGTAGGGCCGCAGCCGCTCTCATGATAGCGAGCCGTGCACAGCACAGCCGCCAGCGGGAATTGCGACAGGTCAGCGTGCCCCGCTGGTCAGCAGCGTTGGCTCTGGCACGAGCCGCCTCTCTGCCGCGCGCGCGCCCTCACCTGCGACGGCCACGCCTGCTGCGTACGCGCGCCCCTCTTCACCGGGCGCGCGCAGACGACCCGGACCTCACGCGCTGGGTCAAGGCGCCGCGCCCCTGGCTGGCCGCGCCGCCCGACGGGATGCCCTACAACTGCTGGCGTGACCCCTTCGTCATTGAGAGGCCGCGCGGCGCAAACAAACGTGTCGGCGGGCGACCAGGCAGCGAAGACACAGGCAGCGGCGGCCGCTGGCGCGTTGTGATTGGCAGCGGGGTGGACGACGCGCCGCGCGCCGACGGCGGCCCCGGCCCCCGCGCGCGCGGCATGGCGCTAGCGTATTCGGCCAGGCGCCTTGCAGACGGCGGATGGGAGCTGGAGGCGCGACCACTGTGCGAGGCGCGGAGCGGGGAGGTGGACGGGCGCGTGTGGGAGTGCCCGCTCGTCGCGTGGCTGGACCCCTTGCCGCAAGCAGCAGGCGGGGCAGGCGGCATCACGAACGACCCGGCGGGCGGCAGCTCGGCCGCGGCCGCCAGCAGGGGGGCGCCAGAGGCTGCCGCAGGCACCGGCGCGGGTGCAGGGCGGCAGGGGGGTCCGGGCGCGGGACGGGCGCCCACCCACCTGTTTTCGGCGTCCGTCGGTCGCAGCCCGGCGCTAGGATGGCTGGGCTGCCTGCGCGAGGGCGGCCCTTTTGAGTTTTGGGATGACCTCGCCCATGCCGCCGCCGACGGTGCCACGCGTGTGGGGGTGGAGGGTGGCGCCTCTCGCGGCGACGGCGGCCGCGCGCACCCCGGCGGCGGTCACACCAGCGGCGGCCGCCGCAGCGGCGGCGGCGGCGGCAGCGGCAGCAGCAAAAGCAGCAGCGGGGGCTGCGGGGATGGGGGCCCGTTTCCCCTTGACCTAGGAGACCTCCTTTATGCGCCCAACACACTGAGGGACCCCCAGGCAAGCAAAACCCCCCCACCCCCCCATCCCACGGCTGCTGCCAGTGGGGGCAAGGGCCCAGCCGCCAGGACACCCAGCGGCCGCGCTCTGGGCTACACCCTGATTCGGGGCGGCGCAGGCCGCGAAGCGCCGCGGCAGTTGCTCGCCCTCTGTCCTGCAGCCACGCCTCGTATTGTTTATTGCCTCTCGGCTTACCTGCTCTCCCTGTCGCCCTCATCCCCCTGTGGACCACTCCCTAATCTGCCGCAGGGCCGCACCCTGCTGTGGGGATGGCTCAGCGAGCTGCACAGCCCCCAGGCAGAGGACACCACCACCAGCCCAGCCACTGCGCCCGCCGCCGCCGCCTCTGCAGCCGCCAACCCCGCCGGCGCCGGCCCGCCCCCCTCCCCGGCCGACCACGCCTTCGGTTGCATCTCCCTGCCGCGCGTGCTGTCGCTGGCGCGCGCGCCGCCGGCGGTGCCGGCGGCGGCTGGCGGCGGCGGGGGGTTGGGGGCGCCGCGCTACTACCTGCACTCGCGGCCACTGCCTGAGCTGGCCCAGCTGCGGCGCGGTAGCGGGTGGCTGGGCGACGGCCTGAGAGTGGAGCCTCGCCAGCCCAGGTGGGCGGCCTGCCTGGTTGCATGCGCAGAAGAATGTCCAGTGTCACTAGTGCCCTGCCTGTGGAGCCCGTGTGGCGCCCAGGCCTTGGCATGAGCCTTGCAGGGTGTGCGCATACTCAGTGCGGCGCCGCTCCATTGTTATACCACACCCGGGATCACCTGTCCAGCGCCCAAAGGAGCACATCACAACTCCCGCTTGCCCCCCTCGCGCGCTCCCTCTCTCTCCATCCCATCGCCTGGTTCGCGTGTTAACCTCCCACCTGAAATCCCCACAGGCACGTGGCAGAGGGCCTGCACCTGACGCACGCCGACGTCACCCTCGCCCTCTGCCCGCGCCCCGGCTGCGCGGCTGCCGGCTTCCTGGCCACCACCCGCGGCCCCGGCCGCACGCCCCCGGCTGCGGCGCCAACGCCGGGGGGCCCGAGCGGGGAGGCGGGGCCTGAGGGTACCGCCGGCGGCGGCGGTGGTTGTGACAGGGGGGTGGTCGGTGATTTGGAGCTGCAGGGGGTGCTGGTGATGTGCGCCTTCGATGAGGGCCGGCTAGGAGCATTCATTGGTCCCATCCGCGATGTGCGCGCCGTCATTGCGTCGCAAACACTGCCGCCGCCCGGCGGCGGCAGCGGCGCCGCCGGGGCGCGGGGCCTGCGCGCACTGGGCGGGCAGCTGCCGGGCGCGGTGCCGGGCGCTGCGGCGGAGCTGAGGGTTTTCTTCGACGGCAGTGTCTTGGAGGTGTTCACAGGCTGCGGCTCTGCGCTGGCGACACGGCTGTACACGCGGCAGCTGCCAGGCACGCGGCTGGCAGTTGAAGGTTGCGAATCCGCGGCGCATGGCGTCAGCGGCAGCGGGGGGGAGGCGGGCGCGTGCCAGCTGGAGCTTGTGGCGTTTGGGGCCGAGGTGGTGGCGCGGTGCGAGGTTTTTGAGATGGGGAGCGCGTGGGAGGGCGAGGGGGACTGATGTGTGTGTGTGCGTGCTGGGGTTGCTTGAGGTTGAGCGAATTCTGGGAATTGGACCCCCTAGCTCAGCCTGATTATTGACGTGGCCGCCTCACATCTCGCGACTGCAGCATGTTGCAGCTGCACTGCAGCGTGTTGCAATTGAATGCGAAGCTTAATATTGTGCAAGACTGTAAGTGCCTCGCCCTGGGGTTGTGAGCGGCCATATTCTGGGGCAGGGGTGCGCCCGGCTGCTCACGTGCATGTTGCATCCAAAGGGCGTGCGCTTCAGCCACATGCCTGCACGGACTTGCGTGTGGGTGCGTACGCGTAGGTTACGCATCAATCTTCTTGGTGCAATCAAAGTATACCTCAGCTTGTTTGGTGTCGTAGTCAGCCGTGACCACCTCGCAGGGGCCACGGTGGCAAGAGCGGGGCAAGCAGCAGAGTGCTCAATCGCGTGCGGTATCCCTCTGTCCGCACCTGTTCCACAGCAACAACTTGTACCTCAACCACCTGGTACAATGGCATTGGCCACACCAACATCGCACGCCGCAGCTGATACCACGCAGCAGCGAGCGTGCCCGCTGGTGCCTATAGTCCAGCTGGTGACGCAGCCACGGGTGTGTTTTGCACTTTCGATCCTCAGCATATGGATATCAAGCTTCATCACATCAAGCTGACCCCTACGTGCTCTATCTTGCCCTGTTGAGAGACCTTGTAAGCGCCGTCAGCGCGTCACAGCCATCTCGCTCGAGTGATCTGGAGGTGTAGCTATCTGCACGCACATCTGGACATTTCACGTGTTTAGTCACATTGCAACTTTTTTGCTCTTCCTGCGCACTGTGATCTGCATCATAGGCAGTGGCCATCGCGCGCAGTTGGCGTTCATAACACAGCGTAGGCGCTGCTGTTACGTTATCAGGCAAGCAAGCTTTGGCGTTGCCGCCCAGTGGCCAGTGGGCGGCGGCAGCCATTGACGGCAGCCGCACAGCAGCAGCGCACTCGGTGCAGGTGCCGCCGCCCGGGGTGTCCGCACAGCAGCGGCTGGGGACGAGATGGACCAGACTACGCGGCTGTTCCAGATCCGGCGAACATGCCTGGAAATGCTGTCCGACCGCGACTACCTAGTCGCCGAGGTGGGGCATGGGGGGCGCGAGGCAGCCTCGACCTGCAGCGGCAGGGACGACTCTCAAAGCGGCTCGCACGCCGCTGCGCCAGCCGCCGCGGAGTCCCTGTCCCCCTCTCCCCCTCTACATCGTGGTCGTGACGACATCCGCACGTGCGTGTGCTGGACGCCCCTCGTGTGCGCGCAGGGTGACCTGACGATGAACTTTGACGACTTCAGGGCGCAGTTTGCGGCGCAGGGGTCGGTCTCAAAGGAGCAGCTCACGCTGCTGCAGCAGCACAAGGACGACCCCTCACAGAAGGTGGGGAAGAAAATGGGGGGCAGCACAAGGAATGAGTGCGTTGCTGAAGCATTTGGGTGTGTTTGGCGGGTATGGCGGGCTGGTTTTAGCGCGCCCGCTCGCTGCGCGGCCGGTGAACCGAGAAGTGCTGCACATATCCGTGCACACGACTGGCGGCCCACTGACCCAGCGGCTGCGCCGCCTTCACCGCGACCGCCGCCCCTCAGATCATCGTTTTCTTCCCCGAGGCCAGCAAAGTGGGCGTGAAGGAGATCAAGGACATGAGCGAAAAGATGAAGGTGAGGGGGCACCAACAACCGCCGCGGGCGCGCCCCTCCGCTCTGTTTAGCTTCACCCGCAACCGGCACAGCGCCTGTCCCTTGCAGTGCTTTCTCCACACGCTGCGCAACCGCTCTCAAAACCCCTGTCCCCGCCACACCCCGCGAGCGCACCCTTTCTTTCTTGGCAAACCACACACCCCAGTCGGCTAATCGCTACCATCACTGCCAACCCTGCCACCCCCCTTCCCATTCCCCCCCTCCCCCCCCCCCAGGAGGAGGGTGTCCAGCGCGCACTGCTGGTGGTGGCCCAGAACCTGACGCCCTTTGCGCGCAGCGTGGTGGCAGACATGCAGGGCAAGCAGGTGCAGCACGCTGGGTGTGTGTGTTTGCGTGTGTGTGCGTGTGTGTGCGTGTGTGTGTGTGCGTGTGTGTGTGTGTGTGTGTGTGTGTGCTCTTGTGTGTGCTCTGTGTGTGCTCTTGTGTGTGCTCTTGTGTGTGCTCTTGTGTGTGCTCTTGTGTGTGTGTGTGTG